GGTCAAGAGCCAATCCCAACTCCTGCAGTGCTGGAATTGAGCCTCTCGGCAGAACCGCTACATGATGTAGCAAAGCCCGTGAGAGGGATCCTCGAAGATCTTGCCGACTGGAAACTTCGAATGAGGGAGCTGTACAGCGACAGAGCGGCACTTGCCAAAGAGCTGGAAGAGGGGAAGTCGGGATTGAAAGGCATCGAGAAAAATATAGAAGATATCCGTGCGGAGCAGCGAAGATTGGAGGACAAAAAGGCGGCAATTGACCAGGAAATTTCAGAAGCGGAAAAGGTAGGCAAACGATACGATGAGAATCTGACAATGGAGAAGGAGAAGACTTCGATGAGAGAGATCGCCCTTCGCGACATGAACGACAGGGCTGAGCAGATAAAGCTGGAGCTACAAGAAGTCTGGAACATTTGTGACAGTTAGATCTTGCAGCTATTCCCTCAAACTTCATTCGAATAAGCTATAAGTGGCCGATCGACTTCACTCCCGGTACAATGGCATTCATACAAGAATTGACGAGGATATGTGATATCGGAATCAGATCACTATCGTTGGCTACAGAGTATGTCGTAGATAAGATGGTTGTGGTGTTGACATGGGAAAGCCAGAAATCGGCTATAGTTCTCCACGTCCCGCTCCAACAATCTCTCTCCAGCGAGGTGATCTGCTTTTGATATACCTGCTTCTGCTGCTCCGTTAGCTTCTGCTGCTCCGTTAGCTTCTGCTGCTCCGTTAGCTTCTGCTGCTGCTCGAGTTGACCTGTATACTTGCTAGGCGTGTCATCTATTTGGGTCATCACACCAGGCTGCAGACTTACAGGGTCTGTATCTGGTCCGCTCGATCGATATGACACCCGACACCATCGACATCTTGTTCAAGACTTATGAGAGACACGTGCCTAACTAAGATCGTCCCTGTAATTCCTCTGTGGGTGTGTTTTAAGACGTCGATTCCGATAGGCTAGGAGCAAGGTCTCCAACATAGGCAGCGTAATGTCTCGGTTCTGCGTGGTGGTTTTGCTAGTCGTCCGCATCACTACACTTCTCCCGTCATCGCGCGGTACGGCTATTACATGGAGCTACGCTACATCCACCATCTGGCTGCAAGTCACTATGAACATATCAGTCTTTACAGCATGCATCACGGGCATGCTCTATGTCCTTACGAACATTGAGGGGATCATACTAGACACACGGATCAATACCGGATCTCTGAAGGAGTATGGACGCGATTCGATACACCTGGGCACCAACACCGGTGTGATAACAAACAGGATCGCTGGCGCCAGAGTTGATTGGGAACTAGATGTGAGAGGGTCGGGCAACAAAGAAGCCATCTCCAAGAGGCGCAAAAGCTACGCAGAAAGTGTAGAGGGGCTGACATGTGGGGCAACGAACGTTGTCGTCACTCGTGAAATTCGTCAGACGGAAGGAAGGATAAGTGGTCAACGTTGGGAGATACATCTCCAACCATGCAGAAACACACGGCAAGACACCATAACATTCAACGGCATGTCGCGTTTCTGCCTCAATTCTGTGGCACACAGGATATCTTTCAGCTTGGGCTTCAAGATGCGGGGGCCCAGTACGAAAGACAACGTCTCTGCGCGCAGCACCGGTATTCGATAGCCCGTGCGGTCGTGAGGCCGGTCCGGGCTACGAATTCAGGCCAGTGTCTAAGCGAATCTGACCATACTGATCGAGCCCATACGGCCGCTACGGGCGAGTCTCCCGTGCGGGATGCAGCGAGCGGTGAGATCTACATAGGAGGCTCTTGTATCGTACAGGCTTGCCGTTGGCTATAGAAAACGAGAGCAGCTGATCCTGGCCGAGAACTGTGCTTTTGCATCGTATTCGTGCCAAAAAGCTCGGCAGGATCTTGAGACCCTCTCTCGAACTGTTTCTCGACCATGAAATAATGATCATAATCGGAGAGTTACCTCGATGACGGACATTCTTAAGATGGAGCACGATAGTAGCGTCAACTATGAAGATATAATCCATCTTCCAGAGTAACTTCACCCTAACCCCACCCTTAACAACTCTCACGTGCAAATGGCAGCATCTATTCTACTGCTTGCAAAGTCCTGCGATAAGCTTGGTTATACCAGCACGAACACCCTTACGTAACGTACAGAATTGGGAGGGTCTACTCTGTGCTGCTCTCAACGACGATTTGTCCGAAGCTGTACACGGTGAAGTTGCGACTGTGCTCGATGATTTCTCATACAGCCGCCATCCTTTGCTACCGAAGCATGCAACATATCTGAATGACACGGAGATATAGGTCGCAATTGGCAGGACTCAAGTCTACTGTTTGTGTAGTGAACATCATTGCGGCAGTCTCTTGATTTTGGGAGCAGTGGTCACCAAGTCTCCCAATCATGGTGCAGAAGTCGCCGCACATGGAGGCAAGCATGACAACTCGGTGCAAGCGGCATTGTGAGGAAGATGGGAGAAAGTGGAATAGCTTTTAATGAGAGCATATCTCGAGATCAGCGCAGGGGGAGCTATCTTTGGCAATGCAGGGAGGAGAGTGATTTGTGACGCTGGGTAATGTTCGACTCCAAGAGATGACAAGCTAAGCCCGGGTATTTCCAGGACCTGTGCACAAAGCATATAATAATGCACAGCTCGTTCCCCAAAGATCTGCCAAACTCCAATTTCTCCACACTTTGCCTTCGTGACACGAGCGCAAGTGGATTGACCTCTTTTACTCGTTTCACACGATCGCTACGTCCTTGATATGCTTGTCGGAGACTACCAGAACCGGTCTCCTCGCGGTGTGGTAGGGGCAGACGTGGCGAACGAGACAATGGGATTGTTTTCTACGTTTTCGCCAGAACTGCGCAACGATGTCTATCGCCGCTGCCTGGTCAGTGAATCAGTTGTTGATCTCCGGCGATTCCAGAGAGGTCCTGATCTACAGCGTTCTCCACTCGCACCCATTGGTCCTGCTGCTGATGCCTTGCTCGATATCTCGCCAGAACTGCTACATACTTGCAAGCCATATACATGGAAGCCAAAGGCATACTCCACGGGCTCAATATATTCTGGTGGGAGTATCACGATGATTTCAGACCCTGCGAGAAATGTCATCACACGGACATGGCTTACGGCAGAGGTTTTCAATATATGTATCCTACATTCCAGGACGGCTTCTACCGACGATCTCGCATGGACTCTCCTCTACTAAGCATGTTTTCATCTCCATCATACCCGTGAGCTTGAAGCAGTGGAGTCAGTCAGCTAGCGCCCTACGCACGCTCCAGTTCTACCACAGGGTCTTGGCGTGGGAATTGTATAGACGATTTGAGAAGATAATTGTGGGCATTGCAGCCAGATCGCACCACGAATATCATCCTGACCACGACTCCATTGCGTTCGGCGACCATCCGACTCAAGATCGTGAGCCAACAGTATCTCGTCCCGACGACGTGAAATCTTGGCGACGAGAAACGAACATAAGTGTTCCGGTAATGGTCCATCAAGCGCTTAGGGCCATTAGCCAATGGTATGCGAACGACACAAAGAGGATTACGCTTCTTTGGACTGATGACTTCTGCGTTGCACGCCTGCGCGACCCTAAGCAGGGTGGCGGTATCCAGTATGGAGAGTCAGGTAAGAGAGGGCCATACTTTGAACCAAATCTACCGGCCAACATTACACCCGCCGGGTCACTTTCAAGAGATTGCACTGACCATCAACTTGTTCGCAATCATGACGTTCAGGCATCAGCCGATGTTCGTGACAGTGGGGTATACCTCGGCAGCTCCGCAACCCAGCTCGCCCGTCAAACTATACTCTCATCTAGGACAAGAGAAGACAATCAGTGGACGTGTCAATGTTTACGATGTAACGCAGCAAGCGGAGAAGAATTGTACGTCGAGCATGACTGTATGTTCCATTATAGCCAATGTCTACACCCCCTATATGCTGATTTCCGGTACAAGATCTGCAAGGCATGTAGTGTCTCGTGTGCGGAACTGCAGTCAACAATAGCATATCTAGTAAAGACA